GTGGGAGAGAGAACTGAGGGCGAGATGGGAAGTGGGTAGAGTCCTTCAGGTGGATAAGGACTGGTAAGTGATATTGAGCAACCAACTGGGGTAGATGTATCCCCACACCTGAGGTCAACTGGCACCGGGAACACCGGGGAAGGTGGATTGGGGCCCCTGATTATGGGTACACAAAGGCATTATTAGGGTAATGTTGGAGCTGGGGAGGGGATGAGAGGGGCAGGTTATGGAAGCCTTGAGGCTTGGTTAAGATGTCTCGTCCTAAGAGGGCAGTGGGAACAGGAGGGCATGATGAGGAAGAGTGGGCAAAATATGCATAGTCCAGGCAACAGTTTTAACATTGGGGTCTGGCGAGGGTTAGATGGCTTACGTCTACCCCTCACTGAAATAGTGGAGGTTGGCTAGGTCCACTATAGGATGGCAAAAACTGAGTAGGTAGCCCGTATCGATGGAAAAGAAATTGGCTTACCCGCTACCTGTAGGCGTTACCCTGAGCTCGGCGAGGGTGACTGGGGTCTTCTGAGTGAGGGCACCGTCAATGTCGTCGAGGTGTAGGAGCTGGAAGGAGGCCTTCCGACCTTGCAGGAGAGGCACCATGTTGAGGTGCCAGGCCTTCCTGACAGCGGGGCAACATCAGACTTCCAATGCCCTTCTTGATGGCATACGGACATGGGCAAGGTGGAGCGAGGATTTGGGCCTTACTGGCCCAATGCCCAGTTGTGCCGCACTTGAAACAAGGATTGGACGGTAGACTCCCCTTTGTCTGAGCGGCACTTATCAGCCAATGCTTGGGGTCTCCGCATCTGAAGCCAAGCGCCCTTAGGAGACTTGCCCTGTGTCTTCCCTGCTGCAAGTGGGCAACGCTGGTTGGAGGGCAGCCACTAGAGCTTGCGCCTGAAGACAGCCCTTCTTTCTCTTGTCTAGCTCTGCAGGCTCAGCTGCTTCTTCTCTGGAAGTTAACAAACTTTAAAGGCCAATTTTACTAAGTCACTGTATGGGGGTGTTGAGGGCCCATTTTACCTTAACTTTTTTAGCTTTTTTTCGAATATCTGAGGCTGACTGGAGATAAAATATGGAAGGAGGCTAGACAGCTGCCTCTGGGCTGGGGAGGGTGGGGGTCTAGCCGAGTAAATTTGGCGCTAGTGCCTCTGTTAAGGCGATTTAAGGAAAGGAAGCCGGTTCTCATCCTGAGTGCTGGATGATTTCCTTTAGTTTATCAAATTGACCACTTGTTAGAGGCTGCCTTGCATACCGGCCAAGAGACATTGAACACATGTGTTCTATGGCGGCCGGGACTGCTGTGGTTGGTAGTCCCAATCTGTTTCTATGGACGGGACAGCCATCTCTCCTAACAGGGACAGTGGTGGGTTAAATGCCATTGATCTGCATGTTGCCTGGCGGCTGCAAGAATACGCTCTCTTTCCTCTGGGTTAAGGGAAGAGGACAAAATGACCTGTAAGTCATGCCAGGTTAATCATATGCCTGACATAGGTATCGAAACTCCTTGGAATACAGGGTGGGGTTAGCAGAGAAATCACCGAGCCATTTTTCAATCTTGGAAAGATCTGCCAAGGAAAAAGGGACATGGACTCTAACTAGTCCTTCGGCTCGGCGACCTCTCGGAGGGGGGCCAACAAACTAACAGGGGAGGTTGAAACAGACTGACCAGTTGGGTAGGTTGAGACCAGCTGACCAGTAGAGGGGGTTGAGGCAGGCTGACTGGTAGAGGGGGTTGGGGCAGGCTGACTGGTAGAGGGCTGACTAGTGGGGGCCGCTATCGTGGTCTTGGAGCGAGTGTGGGCGGAAATGGGAGAGGTAAGAGGAGTGGCTGAGGGAGGGGCGGTAGGAAGGAGCGATAGGGAGGGGGGTGGTGAGGTTGAAGGAGGGAGGTGCCCCGCCAGTCGGCCTCGTCTGGAGGGAAGTAGAATCTTCCCTCTGTGGTCTGCTTGTGGGGGCCGTAGGGCTGGGTTTCTTACTAACAAAGCTGGCCAGTTGAACACTGGGCGCACAGGTCTGGGCGAGAGCGCAATCAGTCCCAGAAGCCGTTGGACTAGATAATCTTGACCACTTTCCAAGCCTTTGGGCAGAAATGAGAGAGTTCTAATAGGAGATGTTATAGTCAGTGTGCCGTGCTGGTGGGCCATTGAGATGGTTGTTAATTTATATGCGGCCAATGCCACAGTGGAGAGGGAAAATTAGCCGTTTCATTTTAAAATCTTGAGCTAAATGTAAGGCTTCAAGTTTTGGAGAGACACCCTAGGGGTGTTCCTAGGGATTTTGGATTGTGAGGTTCCATTGTTTAACCACCAGAATGGAAACGACCTCACGCAGTGGCAAAGCGTCCTTTGCCGCTGCTAGAGACCGGGGGGCTCCTGGAGCCACTAACGGAGAATTGAGGAACTTCAAGACGGAGTCTCCGGGTTGAAGGCCTCACTGTACCACAGGGTGGCTACGTCCTGGGTGTACATACGACTGTAGGGCAAGGACACGGAAACGGACGAGGATGGTTATTAACAAGCGGACGTACTCACCGAAGAAGAAATTTTCCAGAGCGGCACCAGTGGAAAGCTGGAACACTTGTTCGGTGTTGGTGGCTGTTGATTGGGAGCCGGTTCACTGGGGAGGAGTTCCTCAGACCCCTAGGATGTTGAGGAAGGGTCTCCTCCAGGTCAGGTTTCGGCACTCAGCTGTTTTGTTTTCTCTATTACTCTATAATAGACGCAAAGATAAATATCAATAAAGGCCAAAATGAGCGAAGAAAGGGCAGCCCTTTTATTTGCAAAATGGCATACACTCTCGGAAGGAGGGTTCTGGTTCCTCAGGTTGTGGGGGGCCAGGGAAGTCACGCCGGCGCTCTCGGGTGATGTTCTCTGGTCCACGAATGTGGGGGGCCGAAGAAGTCACGCTGGCTCCTGCCGGCGGTGGACTTTTATGCCTGGGAGCTGGAAGGGGAGGAGTTTGGGGCGTGTGTGTAGGAGTGTCTTCTTGAATTTCGGTGTCCCTGGCTTGACGTCATTCTGCGCAGGCTCAGTTGATTTGGTTCTTTTCCTGGGCGTGGGAATTTTTCCCGGGCACGGGAAAATCTGTGATGAAGAACCCGGAAACAACAGGGACTGCTCCATCTTGTTCACCTTCCTCCGTCTTGTCCCTTTTCCCTCACCCAAACACCAATACTATATTGAATAGGAGTGGTGAGAGAGGGGATCCTTGTCTTGTGCCAGTTTTCAAAGGGAATGCTTCCAGCTTTTGCCTATTCAGTATGATTTGGCTGTGGGTCTGTTATAAATGGCTATTATTTTGAAATATTTTCCATCAATACCTAGTTAATGGAGAGTTTTTAGCATGAAGGATGTTGAATTTTATTGAAGGCCTTTTCTGCATCTATTGAGATAATTTTTTTTTTGAAAGTATTGAACATTTTATTAATGTTAAGTTTTGAAAGCTTTATATTTGGGTACACTAAGATATAGGACTGCTGCTGCTTAAAGAAGTTATCCTTTAGCATTAGGTTGTTGTTGTGGGAAGTCAGGGACCCCGAACGGAGGGACCTGCTGGAGCCACGGCAAAGGAACATAAATTTTGAAGATTTCATTTTAATATGGACATTTATCAGTTCCCAAATAATACCTTTATAATTTCTTATGCCTGTCCTTACTTTAATCTCTTAATCCTGTTATCTTCATAAACTGAGGATGTACGTCACCTCATGACCACTGTGATAATTGTGTTAACTGTACAAATTGATTGTAAAACATGTGTGTTTGGACAATATGAAATCAGTGCACCTTGAAAAAGAACAGAATAACAGCGATTTTTAGGGAACAAGGGAAGACAACGATAAGGTCTGACTGACTATGGGTTGGGCAAAAAGAGCCATATATTTCTTCTGCTGAAGCCTATAAATTGGATGTGCAAGTAGGAGAGATATCGCTAAATCTTTTCCTAGCAAGGAATCGTAATATTAATACCCTGGAAAGGAATCATCCTTGGGAGAGGTCTATAAATGGCCTCTCTGGAGTGTCTGTCTTATGCAATTGAGATAAGGACTGAGATATGCCCTGGTCTCCTGCAGTATCCTCAGGCTTATTAGGTGGGGAAAAACTCCGCCCCTGGTAAATTTGTGGTCAGACCGGTTCTCTGCCTCTCAAACCTGTTTTCTGTTGTTTAAGATTTTATCAAGACAATATGTGCACCGCTGAACATAGACCCTTATCAGTAGTTCTGCTTTTACCCTTTATCCTGTTCCTTCAGAAGCATGTGATCTTTGTTTGCTTTTGCCCTTTGAAGCATGTGATCTTTGTACCTACTCCCTGTTTCCACCCACTCCCCTTTTGAAACCCTTAATAAAAAAACTGCTGGTTTGAGGCTCAGGTGGGCATCATGGTCCTACCGATATGTGATGTCACCCCCGGCAGCCCAGCTGTAAAGTTCCTCTCCTTGAACTGTCTCTCTTTATTTCTCAGCCGGCTGACACTTATGGAAAATAGAACCTATGTTGAAATATGGGGTGGGTTCCCCCAGTGGTTGTTGGTTTAGGGTTATGGAACTTGGCTATTTTTGCTAAGCATTCATAATCTATAAATTCACAATCTTGGTTTAGGACTTGGCTCAGTAAAGTTAGGCTCTCATTTCTTCCTCACCAAAGTGCTTCTCAATGATGTTCAAAGCAGACTGGCCAATCTAACAGTTCTCATGCAGTTGTAAAGCCTCCAATTCTATTGATCCCACTGAGTTCTTCTATCAGAAAACATAGGATTTCCATCTCAGACCATTTCTCTGCCACCTGGAGGATGCAAGAGATGACATCGAGGATGGTGAGAACAATTTTTAACATCTGGGGCAATGAGCAGATTCACCAGTGGCTCCGGGACCCCAGAGTGGAGGATCAGCTAAACCAGGTGACCCACATTGCAAAGTTAGCCACCGCCTAGACAGCCTCTTTCTGGACTTTAATTCTCTGCTTTTTTTTTTTTTTTTTTAGCAGAGCCACCAAGGGAGGCAAGATGTTTGTAGCAAGCAGCTGCTGGGTGTGGTGAGAGGGCCCTGCCACCATATTGCTCAAGGCCTAGGTCACCTCCTTCTGGATGAAGGGCCTGTTGTGCTACAGGAGCTGGGGCAGCATGTTCAGCATGCCCACGTCAGTGGCCATCTTTTTCTGCTCATCTGTGCCTGTGTTAATGTTCCCCACAGTACAGAGAGAAGGGGTCAAGACATTGAGGTCTGAGCTGGTCATGAGTGCTACAAGCCTGGGCAGGACCCCCGTGTCAACTACTTGGCTGATGCACTCTTTGTAGCCCATTGGTGAGGTAGGACAGCACCCAGCAGGCTTGAGAGAACCTTGCCGTGGTGGTGCTGCGGGAGTGAGAGGGCCAGCAGCATCTGCTTCACTGCAGTTTCGCAAGGCATGGGGTCTTCTTTTGGCACAGGTTCGACAAGGTCCAAATGATGTTCCGCAGAAATGTGATTGGTAGGCTGGGTGAAATCAGGGCCGCAGATGTGGGATGGCATTGCTTGAGATGATGTTATCTCTGAACTCTGGGCTGTCACAGGGTATACTATCAAGAGCCCACTTGCCTGTTCACGCACAGCCACACTGGGGGAATACAGGAGCTTGATCAAGGGCTGGATGGGTCCCTCTTCTACCATAGCTCAAAATCTGCTCGGAAGTCCCTGAAGCAATGTTGGTCAGGGCCTAGGCGGCCTCAAACTGCAAGCAGGGGTAAAGTGATGACTTCAGGAACTCCACCATCCTGGGAAAAGGAGTGCTTCAATGAATCAATTTCAGAGGGGGGTTCTTTTCCTGGGATAGCATTTTCCTGGCTGTCTGGGTGGCCTGGAAACAAAGGACTGAATCTGAGCTATTCACACCTTTGATTATTTCACCCAGAGTGAGGCCAACTGCCACCCCTTTGGCTGGTTTTTTGGAAGCTGTGTCAGGGAAGAAGCTGGTGATATTCCTTCTCTTTAAGGTCTGTTCATCTTTCTTGGCCTTTCAGTCCTCCAGGCTGACTGCCATCCTCTGCTGTCACCTCAGAGATGTATCTTTTCCTCAGTACTTAAATTTTCTCAGCCTCTTTTCTGGAGCATCTAAGGTTGCTTTTTATCATTGGTTCTGTTTAGGTGATAAATTAGTTTATTGATTGGTGTATGTTGAACCAGCCTTGCATCCTAGAGATGAAGTCAACTTGATTGTGATGCATAAGCTTTTTGATGTGCTGCTGGATTTGGTTTGCCCAGTATTTTATTAAAGATTTTTGCATCAGTGTTCCTCAGGAATATTGGCCTTAAGTTTCCTTTTTTTTATTGTATCTCCACCAGGTTTTGTATCAGGATGATGCTGGCCTTAAAAGAGTTAGGGAGAAGTCCCTCCTTTTCAATTATATGGAATAGTTTCAGAAGGAATGGTAGCAGCTCCTCTGTACCTCAGGTAGAATTTGGCTGTGAATCCATCTGGTCCTGGGCTTATTTGGTTCATAGGCTATTAACTACTGCCACAGTTTCAGAACTTGTTATTGGTTTATTCGGGGATTCAATTTCTTCCTAGTTCACTCTTGGGAAGGTACATTTGTCCAGCAATTTCTCCATTCTTCAGATTTTCTAGTTTATTTGTATAGAAGTATTTATAGTATTCTCTGGTGGTTATTTGTATTTCTGTGGGGTCAGACAAATAGACCAATGGAACAGAATAGAGATCTTAGAAATAAGAGCACACATATACATCATCTGATCTTTGACAAACCTGACAAAAACAAGCAATGGGAAAAGGATTCCCTATTCAATAAATGGTCCTGGGAAAACTGGTTATCTATATACAGAAAATTGAAACTGAACCCCTTCCTTACACCTTATAGAAAAATTAACTCAAGATGGATGAAAGACTTAAATGTAAAACCCAGAACTATAAAAACCCTAGGAGGAAAGCTAGGCAGTACCATTCAGACATAGGCATGGGCAAAGATTTCATGACAAAAGCATCAAAAGCAATTGCAACAAAAAGTGAAAATGACAAATGGGATCTAATTAAACTAAAGAGCTTCTGCCATAGCAAAAGAAACTATCATCAGAGTGAACAGACAACCCACAGAATGGGAGAAAATTTTTGCAATCTATCCGTTGACAAACGTCTAATATCCAGAACCTACAAGGAACTCAAACAAATTTATGAGAAAAAAACAAACAGCCCTAATCAGGAAGTGGGAAAAGAATATGAAAGACACTCTCAAAAGAAGATATTTATGCAGCCAACAAACATACGAAGAAAAAACCTCAACAGTACTGATCATTAGAGAAATTCAAACCAAAGCTACAATGAGATACCATCTCACACTATTCAGAATGGCAGTTATTAAAAAGTCAAGAAACAACAGATGTTGGCAAGGCTGTGGAGAAACAGGAACACTTTACACTGTTGATGGGAATGTAAATTAGTTCAACCATTGTGGAAGACAATGTGACGATTCCTCAAAGACCTGTTAACTAGAAATACCATTTGACCCAGCAATCCCATTACTGGTTATCTACCCAAATGAAAATAAATAATTATATTATAAAGATACATGCATGTGTATGTTCATTGCAGCATTATTCACAATAACAAAGACATGGAATCAACCCAAATGCCCATCATGACAGACTGGATGAAGGAAATGTGGGACATATACACCATGGAATACTATGCAGCCATACAAAGGAATGAGATCACGTCCTTTGCATGGATGTGAATGGAGCTGGAAGCCATTATCTTCAGCAAACTAACACAGGAACAGAAAACCAGACACCTCATGTTCTCACCTATAAGTGGGAGCTGAGCAATGAGAACACATGACCAGCGAGGGGAACAACACACACTGGGGTCTGTCAGGGGAGCGAGGGGAGGGAGAGCATCAGGATAAATAGCTAGTGAATACAGGGCTTAATATTTAGGTGATTGGGTTGATAGGTGCAACAAACCACCATGGCACACGTTTACCTGTGTAGCAAACCTGCACATCTTGTATATGTATCCTGGAACTTAGAATTAAATAAAATTAAATTAAAGCAGAATTTCAAAATTTTGATGAAGTCTAATTGTTAATTGTTTAAATGGTTCATGCTTCTTTCTCACCTAGGAATTTTTGCTATATCTAGAGTGTAAAGGTTTTCTTCCATGTTTTCTCCTGGAAATTTTGTAATTTTTGCTTGTTTAGATCTTCTCTAATATGAGTACTTAAGCTATATACATTATGCTCTAAGCTCTGCTTTAGTTTTATCCCATACATTTTTGATGTTACCATTATCATTCCATTTAAAAATATTTTATAATTTTCTTTCTGATGTGTTCTTTGACCCATGCATTATTAAGAGGTATATTGTTTAATTTCTAAATGTTTGGGAATTTTCCTTATATCTTCCTGTTTATTGATTTCTAATTTAATTATCTTGTAACAGAACATACTCTATATGATTTCAATCTGATAATTTCCTTGTGGCCCAGAAAATGGTCTATTTTGGTTACTATTGTGAATGTACTTGAAAAGGATGTTTATTCTTTTTTTGAATATTATATTCTATACATTTATCAATTGGGTCCAGTTGGTTGTATTTTTCAAGTCTTCTGTGTCTGTACTGATTTTTTTGTGTACTCGTTTTTATTAACTAATGAAAAAAACTGTTGAAACTCCCAATTGTATTTGTGGATTTGTTTACTTCCTTTCAGTTCTATCAGCCTTTTCCTTGGATATTTTGAATCTCTGTTACAGGATACACACACATTTAGGGACTGTGTATAATCTTTTTGATATGTTTACCCCTTTATCATTATGAAGTTTACCTCCTATTTGGTAATATTCCTTGTTCTGAACTATACTTTGTCTGATGTTATCCATTCCAATTTTTTTTACAGTGAATTTTTGCAGAGTATATCTTATTTTGTCCTTTTATCTGTAATCTACTTCTTGTAGTCTACTCTGATAATCTGTTTTAATTAGAAAGTTCAGACCATTTACATTTAATGTGATTATTGATATGGTTGAATTTAAACTACTATTTGATACCTGTTTTTTATTTGCCCCATCTGTTCTTTGTTCCTTTTTTCCTCTTATTTTTTTTTTGGGGGGGGTCAGTTGAGCATTTTATAATATTTCAGTTTATCTCCACTATTGCTTATTAGTCATACTTAGGTTTTTGCTTTTGTGTTTTAAAGGTTATTTTGATTCTTGAATGCGCATCCTTTGCTTATTAACTTCTACTGTGGGTGACAGGGTTTGCTACCTTTCCCCGACTGACTTAAGGCCTTTGTTCCACAGAAGAGGAGGAGCCAGATGGGTTTTGTGCCTTTTTCACTTTACTGATGGAGGCCCTCTTCTCCTGCCCTGCCCCAAATATTTCTCATGTCCACTTGTCGTTCTTCTCCCACACACCCCCATTGGAGGTATGTGGAGAAGAACTGCAAGTGGGCATAAACCTCCTTCATGGTCTGAAACTCCCAGGGCTCTATGATGTCCTACTAGCCCAAACGAGGCCTAGCAACTTAAAATTTTAAACTGAATTCGTCTTACCACTTCTATGATGTTCAGTATCTCTTCCCCCAGTACTCTGCCACAATTAAGCCAGTGCTTGTATCACCTTGGAGGCTCTTATCTTTCCTTGGCTTTCAGTCTATTTGGTTGCTCTTTACATCAGCTCTCTAATGATATTAAGAAATATTCTGATTCTATAGTTCATACATTTTCTTGTACTTGGACAGGAATGATACCTTCCCAGCTAAACACTATGCAGAAACAAAACTCTTGCAATAAGCTTTTATGCAGGCATTAGTCATGAAAAGCTGAGAAGCCAAACAGGGGTTGGTGAGCAACTCAGAGACTAGCAACATTAGATAGATTAGGCTGGAGAGAAAAAAGAGAAGAGGTGCTGGTAAGCCCAGTAGCTAGGTTAATCCTGCAGAACCTAGGACCATGGAAGCTTGTCTGTCAGGAGCTGGAGCCATGGAAGAAACATAGACATCACTTAAGATGTCACCTGAGGCATAGAAGGAAGGAGGAAAATATTCTGTCTTTTCCTCTTCACATTCAGTTTCCTGACAGTGTTTCCATTAGTCAAACTAGCTATCTCCAACAGACATGGAAACTTGGAGAATATAGCATGCAGACAACAGATAACACCCTTATTAGAAGAGAGCAGGAAAAGAATAAAACATAGAGCTGAGGCCAATCACAGGTGTTTATCCTCTATTTCTGAATGATGTGTTTATGTTTCCCCATATTGATTTTCCAATTTAGACATTATCTGTTATTGACTTCCTGACATAGAAAATTTGGTTCTCTTCCACTACTCCTCTCTTCCCCAACCCTAAACTTCCACTATCTTGCAAATATTATTTATATTGCAAATTTTTGTCTAAAAATAATGAGTGCTACATTATTATAAGTACATATGTAGATGTTGTCCACTGCTGAATAATGTAATATAGTATATTAAAATGTTGTTTTAGCTAGGTGCAGTGGCTCATGCCTGTAATCCCATTATTTTGGGAGGCCAAGGCAGGAGGCCTGCTTATGCCTGAAAGTTTGAGACCAGCCTGGGCAACATAGTGAGATCTTGTTTCTAGAAATAATAATAATGATAATAAATTAGCCAGGCATGGTGACATGTGCCTGTGGTCCCAGCTACTTGAGAGGCTGACATGGGAGATCGCATGAGCCTGGGAGGTCAAGGCTGCAGTGAGCTGTGATCATGCCACTTGTACTTCAGCGTGGGTGACAGAGTGAGACCCTGTCTCAAAATAAAAGTTGCTTTAATGTGGTAAAATGCACATAATATAAAACTTACCATCTTAATAATTTTTAAGTGTACACTTCAGTAGGGTAAGTATATTCAGTTTGTTGTCCAACCAATCTCCAGAATTTTTCATACCTGTTAAACGACTTTCCATTTCCCCTCACCCGAGCCCCTGGGAACAACCATTCTACTTTCTGTTTTTTGAATTTGACTTCCCTACAGATATCTCATGTAAGTTGAGTCATATGATTTTTGCCTTTTTGTGACTGACTTGTTTCACTTAATTAATGTCCTCAAGATTCATCCAGGTTGTAGCATGCGTCAGAATTTCCTTCCTCTCTAAGGCTTGATAATAT